GCAGCTTTTGAGTTAAAGAAAACCATTGACGCCTTAGTTGTTTAGCTGGTTTTATTTCAATGTATAACGCAAAAACGATGCCGCAATGTTCAAAATGTAAAGCAGCAATAAGAAAATATAACTACTCAGTCAAAGAGATAGAAAGAATGCGAAACGACTATGCAGACTTAAAGAAAGAAGCAGAAAAGCCAGCAGAAGATAAAATGGATATGTTGACATTTCTTAATAAAAACTATCCAACAGCAGAAGATTTCCTTCTGTCTGACGTCAAGAAGAAATATAAAGAGACTTTCGGCATTGTTAAAACATTCGATGTACTAAAAGAAGAAATAGAAGCTACAAAACTGTTTAGGATTTCAAATATACATCGTACAATTCATGTAAAACGCTTGTGAAAAAAAGAGGTGAAAAATTAGGTGAAAAAACAGGTGAAATCTCACCTCTTCACCTAAAAATTATTTTTATTGAATTCAGCACAAAAATCATGAATTTCCTTAGTTAGAAAAATAACGCTAATTTTTTTCTAACAAATTTTTTTATTTTGTATGTAAAGACAGTAATGTCAACATCAGAGAACACAACAACAGTTATAGTCCATGAAGCTATAAATGAAGAATACGAGTACATACAGTATAACAAACAGTTACGTCTCATTCGTTCAGTCAAAGATGACATGTACCAAATGCAAAGTATAATGAATGCTCTTCGTTCTACAAAGCAAGCATATCATTGGTTTGAAAACCAACAGACAAAAGAACTTTTAGAAGAATTTCCTCATATGATTGCTTCCCTCGGAAAACCGAGAGAAGAGATTCCGTACGAAAATCGCAAGAATTTGGCTCCTGGTTTGAAAGGTTATTATGTTCATAGACTTTTAGTAAACGCTGTAGCAATGTGGGCTTCACCTCGTTATGCTTGTTATATTTTCATGATGTTAGATGAACTATATAAAGCAGAACGTGGAGAGATGGAAAAGAAACTTCAAGCAAAAGATGAAGTCATTGAATCCAAAGACAAAAGCATACAGAAAAGAATACCGCGTTCAGTACCAAAAGGAAAGGAAAAGAGTTATAAGTATATGATTTATACTGAAGAGTTGGAGAAAGAAGAAGATAAAGATATGGTTATGTTACATTTAGTCAGAAGAAACAACAAAAGCTTTTATGACTTAGCTAAAATATATAAATCTGACAGAAACTGGTTCTATCGTGAAAACTTACCGATTTCAATGACACCGAATGAGCAAATAAAGGAAATTGTCAAAAATACTCTTCCTCAAACACACTATGACATCAAAGGTTGCACAATACTTACATTCAAAGAAGACTTACCATTACTGAAGGAAAAAATAACAGAATATTTCGATAACTTCAAAGAGGAAGAATAAAAAAATCTAAGCTAATTTTATTTTTTTTTATAAAATTTTATCTCATATGAAAGAACATGAATTTAGAATATTCGGAACTCATGACAGAAGAAGAGAACGAACAACATGTAAAAGATTATGCAAAATTTCTGAAGACATACAAAGCATTTAAACAATATCTAAATGCTTCTAAAGATTATGCAAAATTTCTGAAGGTATATAAAGCTTATGAAAAAGCGTATGAAAAGTTTATACATTGGGGAATTGTTGTAAAATATCCATATGAAGACTAACCAAAAATATATTTTTGCTTAAATAGCTTCAGGGTCTATTTCTTCAACCATTTCACTTCCTTCGTCAATGTCAATAGAAGCTTCTTCAACCTTTGGTAAGAATTTCTGTATAACATCTTTGTTCGTTATTGTCTTCAGAGATGAAGGATAATATTTCACATTTGTTTCACCTTTCTTATATTCTTTCTGTTCGGAAAGATTTAAAGCAATACTGAAGAAGTCAATGTTAGAGTTCTTTATAACAGTATAGTGTGTATCTTTGACATTCACGAAGAAACTCTTTTGTTTCAAAACTACTGCTAACTCTTGTGAAGTATAACGTTTGCGGTCAATGACGATAGCTAATGGTCTGACATACTGACCAAACTTAGATTCTTTCACAAACTTCTTGTTAAAGATAACATTAACATTTGAAGCATTATTGAACTCATTCTTGATGGCAGTAGCGAGAGCATTGTATGAAAAGAACTTGCAATCTTGCATGTGTTTCATTAAAATAAAAATATTAAATTATTTTGAAAAATAACTTAAAAAAATCTAATCTAATTTTTTCAAAAAATATTTTTTTTATTTCCTACTAAAGATGTATCGGAAGTTGTCTAAGTTGGAACACTCGGAAATAAAACAACTTCTTACAGAAGCTAACATAGATGTTGCAAAGCATTACGCAACAAACAAAAAAGCACTCGCTGACTTCATTAAAGACTATAATGGTGCAATAAGTTATGATAGAATTCATGAGTTCATAAAGCCGCAACGCGGCGAGGACGAAGTCCATGCAAGAGCATTTCCTTTAAATGACGTTGCTATTGACTTATATCATAGACGTTCAGTACCTCATGAAGTAAGAAGAGAAATGTTTGACATAACACATGCAAACGTTGGTGAAACAAGAAGAAGAGACGACACACTGAAACAACAGAGAAGAGAGATGTTGAAGAGCGCTATAGAACAAGTTCGCAAAGCTAACGATGTCCTTCGTTCCATTGACGACAAACCAAAAGAAGGTGAGAGATGGTTAAAGAAAGATGAAGAGAATAGGAAGAGAAATGTGAAGTCAGGCAATAGACTCATTGACTTTAACATCGAAGCTTTAGATGAACCAAACAGAGACTACTTACACAAACATTTCGGTAAGGTTTTCATGAGACTCTTAGAGAAATTAAAATAAACTCCAACAAAGATGGATGGTATATAAACTTGGTGGAAAGTATGAATGTTCTACGTTAAACCTCAATAATATTGGAACATTACTACATCAGCTCTTGAAGGAGAACTTTATATCAGAGATAGAAGCAAATGCTGCAGGTATTGTTGAAATGCACTATGACTTCTTCTTGACAAACATAAAGAATCTTACCGAAATAAAGATGTATGATTTAACAGAATATGAAGGCTTAACGATGTCAGATGTAAAGAAAGGCAAACCAAAAAAGAGACCATATAGAGATGAAAGCACACTGACAAATGACCAGAAAGCCATTTTGGAAGCTCTTAAGCAAACAGGAAACCCAGCACTTATAGAAAGCTTTTGGAAAGATAATGGTGAAAAGAAGTTTTATAAGAAGAGAAGCGGTCAGTTCTGGAAGTATCTTTGCACATTACCTATAAATCTTGAACGCTACCAAATCTTCAATGAATTGAACAAAAGAACTGCAGCACTTATGACAGAAGACAATTGTTTCGTTTATGCTTGCATTCAGGCTGGAGTAGATGGAGAGACTATTGACCACATGAGAGAAGTCATTCGTGTTAGAGACTTTCCTCAAAGTAAAGTACAAGAAATTTCTGACGCAACAGGTATAGCATTTAATGTTACCATTGGTTATTTCAATGACTCAAGACATAATGAAATAAAGAGATACATACCAAAAGAATGTGAAACTGTTCGAACTATTGACTTACTTCTTGTTGAAGACCACTACATGCTAAACGAAAGATTACCAATGACAACATATTTCGTCAGAAATTACAAAGAAATTCTCAAAGCTTGTGGTGGAATGAACATTGAGAAACAAATGAAGATTTATACAAAGAGAGAATATAAATATGTAGTTCGTTATGATAGAACAACACCGTTATGGGATGTTATGAAAACATTGTGGGAGTGCAAATATTTCGAACCTATTTCTTATGGAGAACTTTTCACATATACGACTGACTTATATAAACAGAACCTTGCACCATTTAAAGACTTGTCATATGCTCCAAAGTATTGTGTACAACTGAAGAAGAAAGCCGAGTCAAAAGAAGTAAATAAAAATAAGTGCAAGTTCATTCCTGAGCACGTTTTCTTTGCTGACTTTGAGTGCAGTACCGATGGCTTTCATAAAGCTTTTAACATATGTTACGACAGTGAAGATGGTTCAGTGAGTGAAAGCATTTGGGGCCAGAACTGTGCAACAGAATTTTTGGAACGACTTCCTGACAAGAGTTTAATATATTTCCATAACCTCAGTTATGATAAACTTCATCTTAAGACACATGACAGAAGTGAAAGGAACTCCCATCATTAAAGGTTCACGAACAATGCAAATAACTGGCTTATATAAAGGAAGGGCAATTATTATAAAAGACTCTTACAGTGTTATAAATAAGAAGCTTAAACTATTTCCTGCTATGTTTAACTTACAAACAGGACCGAAAGAAGTATTTCCATATAACTACTACAGCAGTGTTTTGTTAGCAAATGACAACAGAACTGGTGTCATTTCTGAAGCGTGTAAGTTTGTAAAAGATATTGATACGTTCATGAAAAACATAGATTCCATCAAAGGTTGCAGAATAGATGAGAACCACTTCGACTTAGAAAAATATAGCACATTCTATTGCAAACAAGATGTAAGAATTTTAAGAGAAGGTTTTGTTAAGTTCAGAAATGATATATTGAAAGAGTTTGATTTAAACGTTTATTATTACGTTAGCATTTGTTCAATTGCTAACAAATTATTTGAGAACAGAGTGTACTTCCCGAATGGAAATTTATATGACCTCTCAAATAAACCAAGAGAATTTATTTCACGCTGTATTCAAGGTGGAAGATGTATGCTGTCAGATAACATGAAACAAAAGAGTGAAAAGAAACTCATTGCTGACTTCGACGCTGTTTCATTATATCCATCAGCTATAGCAAGACTTTATACTTTAGAAGGTATTCCAAAGGTTATGAAGAAAGAAATGTTAAGCACAGAGTATCTCATGAGACATTTATTCGATGACGACCAAAAGGAACCCATTGGTGAAAAGTTTATGTCTGGCTTCTTTGTTCTCATTAAGATAACAGAGATTGGAATACATAGACACTTTCCTTTAATAGTTTGTGACCCTGAACTAAATCCAGAACTTAACGTTCCCAGAAGTTCAAACACTTGCTGTTTAATGTATGTTGACCATATAACATTACAAGACCTCATAAAATATCAAGGTGTCAAATGTGAAGTGTTGCAAGGATACTATTACGATGGAAACAGAGATATTAGAATAAGAGATGAAGTAAAGAAGTTGTTTGAGTTAAGGTTAAAGTATAAGAAAGAAGGAAATCCTTTGCAAGAAAATATAAAGCTCATTCTGAACAGTATTTATGGCAAAACTATTCTATCTCCTATTGAGTCAAAAATAACCATAGTAAATGACAAAGATGCTATAAGATATGCCATCAGAAACTACAACCATATAGTGAAGTTCGAAGGTTTGGATGGTTCAGATAAAACTATTTTCAAGCTAACGAAAAGCATTTGCAGACACTTTAACTTCTGTCCACTTGGTGTTAACATTCTGTCTATGTCGAAGAGAATAATGTGTGAAGTATTCTGTACTGCTGAGGACTTAGGAATGGACATCTTTTATAGCGATACGGACAGTATGCATCTCTACAATGAAGATATCCCTCGTTTAGCTGAAGAGTTTGAGAAGCGTTATGGAAGAGTTCTCATTGGTAAAAACCTTGGTCAATTTCATAGCGACTTTGCAGAAATCACAAAAGATAAACAAAGTTTAGCATACAAGTCAATATTTTGTGGAAAGAAGACTTACATAGACTTACTCACGAATGATTTAAATGAAGTTGCATTTCACTGCAGAATGAAAGGCGTGAAGCAAGATGTTATTGCTTTAACCGCTAATGAAATGTTTCCTGACTCTGTTCAGTGTTTCTATGATGAAGATAAAGGTTTAATGGTTCCGCAAGGAAAATTTGACAAAGACTCTGAGTTCAGTTTAATGAAACTTTACAAAGCACTTCATGATGGTCAAGAGATTGGATTTGACTTATGTAAGTCTTCTAGTCCTTGCTTTGCTGAAAAGTTTAACTTCTCAATAACGACTAAAACAAGCTTTATTCGTAAGTTGAAGTTCTGAGGTCATTTATTTTTGTCAGCAATGAGGTCATTCGTGATAAAAATAAGCCCATGAGGTCATTTACAATACTGCGATGGTAGAGTTTAAGAGTTGTGCTTCAATGTAGAGACAGTCCTTATGGTCTGGAGGTAGCAAAACAGGTGCTTTATGGTCATGAGTGGAGAACATGTCTATCCAAAACTCACGATTGAAGCCAGTTAATTTATAGTATTTAGGGTTAGGAAGTGGTGAAGTTCTTGTATGACCAATGAACTCATTTTCAACTCCTTTACTTAGGTTTGAATATAATATTGCTTGTTTTCTATCCCAAATACCTGGAAATCTAATTTCGGAAAATTCATTTTTCCTCGGAAGCATTGCATCATAATTGAA